GGAGGGAGAGTTTCTTATGTTTTACTTTACGTTTTTTGTAAAAAAAAATTGAGACATCACTATTTTTTATTTCAGCTTCGTTTTTTTTTCAATAAATCAGTGATACATTTGAAAATGTCACTGAGTCCTCAATCAAACTGGTAACTTTGCCTCCAGGCTGATGTATAATTTGTTTGTTTTCCTTCCTCACAGTTAACGTAGTGACGATCTACGTCCTGCTTTATAAAGATTGTGGACTGTCTCCATGTGTCAGACGTTACCTGGGGGCCATGGCAGTAGCGGATCTACTGGTCATTATCCTCGACCTGATATTGAGACACATTCCCATTGTTTATCGGGAACAGTTTTATTTCCTGGTGTCCATCCCCGTGTGTAATATCCATGCCGTCCTGCTTTATGCAGCCACTGACTGTTCTGTCTGGTTCACCGTCACTTTCACCTTTGATCGATTTGTAGCCATTTGTTGCCAGAAGCTGAAGAGTAAATATTGCAGTGAGAAAACGGCGGCTGTGGTTCTGGGAACAGTGACTGTGCTGAGCTGTTTAAAGAACATTTTCTGGTATTTTATGCTCACAGCTCGCTATTGGCTGGGGAACGCCCCCTGGTTTTGTGAGGTAACACCCGCTGTTCAAATGTCCCGTGTCTGGGTCATAATCGAGTTCCTCCACCACATCCTAACCCCGACTCTCCCATTTCTCCTGATTCTGCTGCTCAATGTTTTCACCGTCAGACACATTTTAGTGACCAGCAGAGCCCGCAGGAGACTCCGGGCTCACACCAATGAGGATGGTCAGTGTGACGCAGAAATGAGAAATCGGAAAAAATCCATTATTTTACTGTTTGTGATCTCAGCCAATTTCATCTTGTTATGGTCAATATTAATGGCGTATTCTATATGGAACCGGATGTGGAATATGGGGTCTCAGCTTGAGCGTGTACCTAAATTTGTGCGGGAATTGGGCTTCATGCTGCAGCTCCTCAGTTGCTGCACAAACACCGCAATTTATGCCGTGACCCAGACTAAGTTCAGACAGCAGTTGAAGAATGTGCTGAAATATCCCTTTACCCAAATTCATCAATCAATCAAATTCACTCATTAATTAATCCATTCAGGAAGTTCTCATTTCAGTTCAATGTTTCGGCAATGAAGCAGCCGGTCACTAATGCAACAGACTGAGGATGAAGCTGTTTTGTCCAACCTTATTCCCCACAGGGTGACAGGAACACATTCCAATGTTCGTCTCAATTCAGAGGGCAGTGAGAAAAGGCATCATTCCACTGACTGTACCTATAGCTTCAATTTGTAAATAATAAAAATGTTCATTAAAATGTATCAAGCAGCAGAGTGAACTTTCTTGTGGTTTGTCTTTGTGTTGGAGAAGCTGAGCTGGAGAGACAGACTTGGTCCCAAAGTCCTGGTCCTCAGGGAAGGGGAGGGGGCCGGGGCCGAGCTCAAGAGTTGGATTTAAGTTACTCTGTCCTTGCTTTCACCTCTGGGTCACCCACTCTGACCTGGTCTTGGCAGAATCCATCTCTCTCTCTCGCTCATTACCTCTCCTTCCATATCTCCCTGCCACTCTCATAATGTCCGTCCCTCTTATCCCTCCTCCATTGTTCATGCTTTTTTTTCCAATGTCCTTCCCTCCCCCATTCTCATTCACAGTCTCTCACTCCTGCACATTCTCTACCTGCCAAACTACCTGTGTTCCACTTGACTCACACCCTGCATATCTTCCGTTACTAGGACAACAGAGTACGTTTTGGTTCACAGGCCGTTGAGAGGGCAACAGATTGGGGATGGGTTCAAAAGACCATGGCTAGTGGAACAGAATGGGGATTGTTTCAAAGCCATTGTGAGAACAACAGAAGGGAGATAGATTCATTGGCCATTGCTAGGGGACCACATTGGAGATGGATTCACAGGCCATTGTTTGGGGAACAGCGTGGGAATGGCTTCACAGGCTCTTGCTAAGAAAACAGAGTGGGGATGGGTTCACAAACCGTTGCTAGGGGAACATGTGGGGTCGGTTCATAGGCCGTCCCTGGGAGAAGAGGCCGGCAATGGGTTTACAGGCCATTGCTAGTGAAAGAAAAAGAGGAGATTGGTTCAAAACCATCGCTAGGAGAAAAGCATGGGGATGGATTCAAAGGCACTTGTTAGGATATGACAGTGGGGTT